GCGTAGAGGCCGAAACACAGGTACTCCTTCTTGCCTTCTCCATTTAGAACGCCTCTACTGGAGTTTTCTTGGTTGGCCTCCAGCATGAGTTCGATGAACTCAAGGCAATCAGCATCCTCGTACCTCTCGTCCAGGATCAGGCGCTCGGCGATGTCCTCAATGTCCTCCTTCTCCCGCTGGGTCATGAACTCGTCCTTCACTCCTTGGGAATCAGCTCCACTGACGACCAGCTGTCGTCCCGGGACTGATACTCGTGCTCCTCCGCCGCGATCGCATTTTCGCGCTGCTTCTTCCGGCCCGGAGTCACATTCATCGCCTGGTCGCGAGTCAGGTCCAGTGTGGACGGTGTAGCAGGTGCCTCCGTAGGAGTTGTTGGGTTGGCCTTCGACTTCGCCTGAGCTCCCTTGGACTTCGCCAGACTCTTCTCCTTCTCGGCTCGGACCTTGCTCAGCTTGTCGATGAGAGACTTCTCCGCCCCGTCCAAGGCCACGTTCTTGGCATTGAGAACGTTGCGGTCCACCGTCTCCCCAGCCTTCTCCTTCTCGGTGACCTCCAGCACCACCTTTTTCACATCTGCGTTGAGGGGCCCTGCCTGGCGAAAGTGTCCGTGAGCACCCCACGCTGGTGCATAGGCCACCCTCAGTCGGCACCGTTCGCACACTCTCCACCATCCGTGAGCGTTGGACCCAGAGAGGCTCCCGCGTCCTGGCTTCATGATCTGGTGCTCCCCGTAACATGGAGCTCCAGCTGTGCGTCCGTCCCTCGGATCCGGACCCTCCTGCCTCGAGAAGTCGTAGCGCTCTTCCTCGGGGATCTTGGCCTTCTCCTTGTAGCCCTTCTTCTTCTCCATGGTGTCCGAGGAAGCTTCCGCTAACGTCTCCTTGGCCGGGGTTCGCCGCTGCGCCATGAACTCCACAGGCGAGGGCAAAAGCGAATTGGGAAGTCGGTCTAGCTATTGCTGAACCCATCTGCGAACATTCATCACATTCCTCAACCGGTCGATCCAGCTCAGGGGATGAGAGATCATACACTGGAACTGCGGTCTTGTCTGACATGTCATGTGCAGGAAAACATGTAGAAGGCAAGCACTGATCCCCTTCACAACGTTCAATCTCAGCACTCATGTATTGCTCACCACGATGGGAGGAAGTCGATGCAAAAGGCGGCCGATCCTTGCGGCCCTCACAGTTCCCGGCTGCATTTAGCCAGTCCTTGGTGAGATCGATCAAAAAATGACCTGAACGGGTCTCGGTGAGGGGAATGAAGATGGTTTTGTCTATCTTGTGAAAACAGACGGTCCTCTCACCAAAATTCACGATCGCCCCCAGCTTCTTGAGGGTGCGGATGCTCATCAAGATGGGGACCCGCGGAACATCTAGCGAGTAGACACTGAAAGATATCTCTCGCTGCTGAAGTTTCTGAGGCAATTCCACATAACTCATAGCTGACAACTGCTTGCCATCTCCAAAGCGGAAAGTCTTTTGAGGATTTGGACAGATCCTCACCGTCTCCACGCCATAGAGCTCACGTCTTTTGCACATGACTGCTTGTATAGCTTCTAAGGAGCGAACAGACTCCGTGGCCCCACTGTCCAACACGGCATA